GGCTGAAGTTGTGCCAGGGGAGATTTTCATTGGATTTTAGGCAGAGTTTCTTTCCTGGCAGGGTGGTGAGGCCTTGGCCCAGGTTGCCCAGGGAGGTGCTGGAGTCCCCAGCCCTGGAGGGGTTCAAAAACTGTGTGGACGTGGCCACCGGGGACAAGGTTTAGTGGTCACAGTAGTGTTGGGTTGATGGTTGGAGTTGATCTTAGAGGTCTTCTCCAACCTCTATGATTCTATGATCCTGTTAATCCTTCTCTGAGTTTCTGTGGTAAAACTGGTGGAAAAAAAGCAGCTTCTCACTGTGAACCTCCAGGTTTGTGCCAAAGGAAAGGAGTGATAAATGCCCTGCACTGAGCGAGGTTACACCGCTCCTCGGGCTTTGGCTGGCACGGTGCTGCACGTGTGACCCCCAGTTGAATTCACTTTTTTTATTTGGGGTGCTGAGCCTGTTGTTGTGTCCTGAGCACACCACGTGGCAAAGGGTTGGTTCTGTGCCCCCAGGAGACCCCCTGCGAGAGCTGGGCAGCGAGTGTGGCATCGAGTTCGACGAGGAGAGGACGGCGGTCATCGACCACCACAACTACGACGTGTCCGACCCCGGGCAGGTGAGGGCACCTGGCAGCACCTTTGGGGCTCTGGTAATGAGAGCTTGGGTGGGAAGGTTTGAGGATGACTCTTCTGCCTCTGTTTTCCCTTTTTGTTTTTTTTTTCTTTCATCTATTCTCTGTTTTCTCAGCTTCTTCCCAAGAAATTCATAAATAATCCTACTTGTGCAGAGCCTTTGCAGTGTTAGGACATTCTGTCGTTTGGGCTCTGCCCTCAAATCCATCTTGGCTGCATTTCCTGGCTTTGATTCTTTCAAATTACAGTTTCAAACAGCTGCAGTGTCTCAGGTGGTCACACCACGATTCGTGGTGGTTTTGATGCACTCCGTGGGGGGAATTTTCCCTGTGGATGAAGCATGTCAGACACCAAGGGCAACACTTCCAGTGTGGGAAAGGACATTTTCAGTCCCAAAGATGTAGAAATGTATATGTTTCTGTGATGTTTTGTTTCTTTTTTTTACTTCCCCCCCCCTTGTGTCATCCAGTACTTTAAAATCCAAACCCATATTAAGGCCTAAACTAAATATATCCTGCTAATTTTTAATTTAAATTAAACTGTTGATACCATACATGGCTGTTGTCCTAGTTTAAGGATGCAAGTTGCTAAATATGGGGAATTAAAATACTGTAAGTATTACTGGCTCTATCAAAAGGTGGTTTTAATTTCCTTTTGTATCAAAATTTGATTGTCATTTAATTTGATGGTGGCACCTGATCATCTTAGAGTCATTAAGGTTGGAAAAGAACTCTGTGAGTCTATAATTACACCAAAAAATGCTGTTTTTTGCTTTTTAATTGAACTGTAACGTTCATCCAGCAGCTGCTCAGTTTTCATTCCTTGTGAAAAGCACAATTAATTTTAAAATAACAAGAGAAGCCCTGGCTTGCACTAAAATCATGTGCTTCTTCCCAGCACACACTCATTGTGGCAGACACTGAGAACCTCCTGAAGGCCCCCACCATCGTGGGGAGAGCAGCACTGAACCCCATCCTCTTCCGAGGAGTTGGGTAAGGGGCACGTGTGGCGTGGGCAGAGAGGGGAGGGAGCTGTGCTGGGGGAAACACAGCAGAAATGCTGGGGTTGCTGCAGGGTGGGTGTGGGGTTGGCCAGCTGTGGGTGATGTGAGTGGTGTCTTGAGTTCAGGTGACAGGGAAATCATGGAATTGTTCTGTTTGGAAGAGAGCTTTAAGGTCATTGAGTCCAGCTGTTCCCCCAGCACTGCCAGGTCCCCACTGACCCGTGTCCCTCACACCACATCTCCATGGCTTGGAAACCCCTCCAGGGGTGGGGACTCCACCACTGCCCTGGGCAGCCTGGCACAGCACTGGACAACCCTCAAGGGGAAGACATTTCTCCTCAGGTTGAACCTAAACTTCCCCTGGTGCAAATTGAGGAGGTTCCTCTTGTTCCTTGGGAGCAGAGCCTGACCCCCCCCTGGCTCCAGGCTCCTGTCAGGAGCTGTGCAGAGCCAGAAGGTCTCCCCTGAGC